TGCACCAGGCTAACTGTTTCCCCCTGTTTCCAGTCTATATGCTAAGCTAAGATAACGATTGTAGCTTCATAATTCATGTACAGACATGACAGTGGAATCGACCTTTTTATCTGACTGCATTTCCCAACTATGAAACTATTTCTTTAACCAGTTTAGTTACTGTCCTTTCTTTTTAATAATATATTATTATTTAATAATAATATTTTACAAGTTTAAAAAGTAGCTAGTATTTTTGCGAGAGAATAGTAATAACTAGTCTGAAATAATATACGCTATTGTGTGTTGCAGAGTGTTTCTTTCTTATCTTTTTAATCATTAAATGACCTCTGTGATTTATCTTGTAACCTCTGGGGGTCCTGACCCCCACTGCAGAAGAGTGTGGGAAAGAGCTGTTTCTGACTGGTTGCTGAGTTGTACAGATGTTATGATGAGCAGATATATGAGACCAGCTTTGTGTGTGTGGGTGTGTGTGTGTATTTCAGTGGGGGGAGGAGGAGCGTTATATTGAACCTTATAGCTTGTGTGCACATATATATGCAGCGCAATTTGATATAAGTGCATCCTATTGTGTTCAAAGATCTTCTGCTGCGGGGGGCATATTCTCATGTTTCATACATGAGCTCATTAACGGCACTCAGATTGCCCTCCTCTCCATCCCGACTAACGCTCAGCCAGCCTGCGTCTGCCTCCTCAGGCACAGCTCACTGCTGGCAGAAGGGCTCAGGAAGCAACATAAGCTATCCATCCAACTTCATGCCCCACAGAAAATCTGGCACGATATGAGGACCTATGCCATGATAAAATCCTCTTTTATCCCCAGGCCGTCTCCAATTTTATCCTTTCTTAGAGCAGTGGGAATGATGCTTCCTCAATTGTGTATTTGTCTTAAGAAAGAGCCAGATGGGCCTTTGCACTGAACTGTACTGTTGCAGTTTCTCAGCACAATGCCGTCACCAACTGTGATGACTACTTACCTTTCAGAGCGCATGTACCACAAAGCTAATGACAAGTCAGTTTTAATGGTGTTAGAGCTGGGATTTGTTGCTAGGTTACCCCATCATGGCTAATAAAAGTAGTAAATTAAGTGTAAGTAACAAGCTGTTGTTCCCTCTCCTTACAGAAAGCCGTCTGAAAGAGAACACTGCGAAGTATATCAAGCTACTGGAGGACAGATTGCACAGGTAAGAGTGTTTTGTGCTGTCTCTCTCTTTTAGTGCTGACACGGAGACTCAATATTCCACAGGAGTAAAACCAAACAAAGAGACATGAGCAGAGCAACAGCCTCCAAGGAATTTCCTCTCACCTCTGTTGTCCTCTAACCACAGCACTGTCTCTCCAATACATCACCTCATCCGCCACATCATGCACTCACACCTTTTTTCTTATGCCGTTGTCTCCCAGAGCCCCTTTCTCACATTTCACTCCGTCTCACACCTGCGCAATTTGTCTTCCTCTTCCCACCTTCTCACATATTTTCTGTACCTTTTATTTTTTTATACCTCCACATCAGTTCAGTTTCCACCTTTTTCCTCATCTGTGTAAATCATTTTAGACAAAACAATATCTGTTTCACTGTTTTTATTTACGTCTCGGAGCTCCTAAATCACTGAGGAGAGGACTGTTGTGTTGCGGGTGGTCGCCCAGCGCGCCTGACAGTTACGCAACGGGATTGTGATGTGCTGAGTGGCTGACTTTTCCAAGCAGAGGGTGTGGAACCCAGTCAAGTGTCGGCACCATACGCCTGTTCACGCTTCCTTATGGAGATTAAAGCTCGTCTCGTCAGCACACAGACAGCACCGAGCAGCTGCGATGCAATCGGCTCTTATTCTGCTGCATTTTGGAACCATTTGTGTTTTACAGATGGATGAATAGAGCTGGTAATGTTTTTGTGTACACCATATGAGCTTTGCTTTCCACTCATTGTCTTCGGGCAACAGCACATTATGTTTGTGAGTTGTCCATCCGTCCTGTTCTCATGAACACACTATCTCAGGAACGCCTTGAGGGAATCTCTTCTATTTTGGCACAAATGTCCACTTGCACTTAAGAAAGAAGTGATTAGAATTTGGTGGTCAAAGGTTAAGGTCACTGTGACTTCAGAACACACGTTTTTGGCATACAGTAATTTGCTAATTCACAAAATTGAACATAAATGTCTGTAGATTATTTGCAGCAACATCCCTATTTAAAGCATTGTCTGCTGTCATGGCTAAAAATGTGTTCTGTGAGAATCAGATTTATTGGCCAAGCATGTGAACACATAGAAGGAATTTGACTCTGTTGTTTCTCTCAATGCACTTACACACTTATAGACATACAGCAGAACAAGAACAACAAAGCTTAAGTCAAAATAAATCAATTTTATATATCTCTATATATATCACACACAAAATATTTGTCTCAAGGGGCTTCAACATCCACTATCCTTAGACCCTGGACTCGGATGAGCTCCCATTAATGGGTAAAATAGAAGAAAGCTCCGGAACAAATGTGACAAAATGACATACTGTAAATATACTTGAAGAATGGATCTGGGAGGACAATGAGAAACCCCACGTGTCACCAAACAGACCTGAGCCACACAACCTCCACTCTGTCATCGAGGCCTGGAAGAGGACAGAGCAACAACGAAAGACAGACAGAAAGAGGCAAGATCCAAACATGGATGTAAACTGCATCTTGACTGGTTGGTGGGGGCATACAACTGTGAGGCGCTGGCTTTAAGTGTTCGGAGTTAGAAGGTTAGGCCGCTTGGGCTTAGTTTGAGCCAGGAAAAGCCTACATTGTCAGAGACAGTGTGTGTCTGCTTGACCCCTGTCTCTGTGTGTAGTGTGTGGGGGGGTTAGCTTTCAATGTCGCATCCTTGGAGAGGCAGGGTCACCTCTTTGGATGGGAGCCAGGAGTCAGTCACACAGGGCTGTTTGTTTTTGAAGGATGCACAGGCTGGGGCTCTGCGTGGTCAAAGAGCAACATGGTTGCGATCTCAGTGCCCAGCAGGGAAGCATGCCTCTGCACCTTTTCTGTCAATAGGGCAGATGGCTGCTTTGTGTTTTGTTTTTTTTGATTTTTCAGAGGGAGTTTCAGAGAGAGAGAGTACCTGTCTGTGCCATGTATCTAATGGGGAAATAGGAAAATACAACTTGGAAACTACTAGCTGACTTACTGGAAGAGGAGTCTGTCAGGATACAAAATGGGTAAAAGCACAGCCTGTATATTCACTACAAGGAGGCAGACATAAACAGTAGATGGCGAGCCTTTAAAGCAGCGGTCTCAAACTCTAATTTGGCTGCTTCAGTGTTCAAGTATTACAAGAAAAGCTAAAAATATTTCCATTACTAACATCAGGCTTACAAAAAAATGCAAACAGTAGTTTCTATACATTGTTATATTAACTGTATAAATAACAGCCAAAAGCATCACAGTCACAAAATACCATCCAGAAAACATGAACAGAATTTAATTTTAGTTTTAGTCATACGAATGATCAAAAGCAAAGACTTTTAGTTTGTACTATGGGCTGAGATCCAATAACGCTGGATCAATAGGGTAATTTGTTAGACGCTCCCTGCCTGCCAATTTGTTAACCACAACTGCTTTTTTGTTACTATAAAAATAACTATAAATTAATGCTTGTCCCCTACAACCTCTGCCTGCTGGGTCCTTGGTATCTTTTTGATGGAGCTCCTATGTTTGCTGATCCTATCTTTTTGTTTTACTAATAAATACTTTATTACATGAGTAGCTGATTATATAGATTACATGTATCTAACCATACCACCATTGAAAGAAAAATCACATTAAAGGACACCTTTTTGGGTATTGGGTACTGAAAACTAATTTTCTTGCTCACCTCAGCCTATATTAATAGATTGGCTCACCAGCCTTGGATCAGCTTTCATAACCAGAGGCAGTCCAGATCAAATCACAAGCACATCTTTGGCTTTAGGCGATGACCAGTAGCTTGCTCCAGCTCCACAGTCTGGCACAGTGACACATTTTTGGCTTGATTGAATGGACAGTTGTGCCCACATGCGCATATACACACACAGATACACACCCATCATCCACTGTAAATTTTATCAGTCAGCTCTAATGTACATTACTGTTGATGAAGTGCGGTTGGTGATGGGAGGTGAGGAGCGGAGAAGGGAGGAGGGGAGGAGAGAGGCAGATTAGTACTGGTGAGATGTCTGGTCTCCGTGGAGACGGATGGTGTTGAAAAAACCAATTATCTCTTCCTTGCTAAAGACTAGAACAGGATGTTAGAGCAACGCAGATGCTGTAAGTGTGTCACCAGAACAAAAAACATTTTATTCAGATTAGCAGCACCGCACAGTTGTTTAATACATTATGTAGATGTTTCGTTAGGAAATGCTTCTCGTATTTTTCCTACATTTATGCATTCTTTTGGATTTCATTTATCATATTTAATGGATAAAATGCAACTGGTGTAGAAGTCATTAAAATTCTCAGACAAGACATGTTCTCTTAGTTAAAATTGAGGACACGCTGGGAGCATCTAAGGAGGGAAACTGCATGAAAAAAACCTCTATTATCACGTTTATGTACAAAATCTTGACTGTACATGAGAGAAATGTAAAATGTTTGAAACAAAGGGACTTTAGTTGCTCAGCTGGCTGCTGTCAAAACCTCCCTAGACATCAAGCCACCCACCTTGCAAACAGTTCAGTTCATCCACCATCCATCACACCTCATCCAATAGTCACCACCTTGTATTTCACCATATTATTAGCACCTCTCCTCTGCTGGTGTTATTTGAGATGTTGCTGCATGATTTACCATCATTACCATCTCCTTTCTAAAGTGTGAATTCTCATATTTATGGTTTTAAGGGTCCTAAACATCACAGGCGCTCTTTGTAGGTAAAAGTCGCATTCATTTTATTTTATTTAGGGTAGTCATTTATTGGGGAGTTGGTGCTTACTTAACCCAAACTCATAGCCTGATCTTTAGATAGCCAAAAAAAAAAAAAAAAAACCCAGCTGTGACTGAAGATAGGAGCTGTTTTTCACAGTCTGTCTGTTCTTGGCTGAACATATGGCCTGATGCTGGGTAGAGTTCAGAAAATTGGCCAGACAGTGTGTGAACCCCCAAGAGGTCTAGCAGAACCTACTGGTACCAGCAGCACTGGACCGCTGCTCCTTCTTTCAACAGTTATATTTATAATCCTTCCTCGGTAGCTGTCTGTGCACGTACATATTGCCTTGAGGAGAAAGAGCAGTCCTGTCAGTCAGCAGTCCCACAGGGGGGCTGTGAGACTGTAGAAGGAGTGTGCCTGCCTGTCTCTCCTTCTTATTACTGGGCCAGCAGTAGAGCAGCACACCCACACCCTGCCACTGTTAGATGGCAGGCCGAGCGGCTGCCACCAATTAACCCCCGGACGAGGAGTTCATACCGACGGGCACCATCACAGGGGTGTTTAGGAGCTGACATGTTGTCTGCGTGCATTTTCAGTACACAGAACCATAATGTCGATGCTAGTTGTTTGTAATGAATTGTGGTTGTCATAGAAGGGAAGCTTTTGTGATAGATGAGGCCAGCGTTGACATTTTTAGGGGAATTTATGATTGTACAACACTGATCCCCATAGAGAATGATGAATTACGGGTATGTGTGCAAGTAACATGTGTGCCCACCCATATCTGTGTGTGTGTGTGTGTGCGTGTGTGCATCCCTCTCCACTTCAGAAGAGACAAATAACAATGAAAGGGCTCAGTGGGTGCATCCCCACCATAGCAGAATTCAGAAGCAGCAGCGTTGAGTAGCGAATTGGCGAGGGCAGGGGGGCTGGGCAGAGCAATTTTTCTATTGTCTGTGTGCCAAATGAAGGTTAGAGAACGGCTGAGAGGCGTGCGTTGGCAGGGTACAGAGGTTGGCAGCCTTTTCAGGCAGGAGATGGGCTGGAAAACAAGTGGCATTCAATTTTCAGGGGGCCTCATCACTGAGAGAGAGGAAGGAACAGAGGGAGAGATTAAACAATATTCTCTGGGTGCATTTTGCCTTTGCGTTTGTTTATGTGTGATGGGGTATTTCTCAATTTCACAATTTCTCAAGTCTAACTGCGCAGCAGGGAAGCACTCTCTAGGTGAAAATACTGAATACATTATAGAGGTTTTTATGAAAGTACATTTGTGCTTAGAGTATGAAATTTATTTTTATCATTCTGTGGCAGTCAATGTGAGAATTAGTGTTTGTGACAGAGAATCTCCTCCTGGGTTGGAAATCGGCATGTACGCAGCGACTGAGGACATTTATTCCTTTAAGATGTTTGATGCATCTCATACTGTATGTATAAAACCCAAGTCTTTGTCCTCACATCCTGTCAGCTTTAGTTTGCTCTCTACAGAAGATGGATTCCTGGAAACAAGGCTTGTATTGAGTAGTTAAGTAGAGGCAGATTGTGTTTCTTACTTTGAAGTCTTTATGCTCTTTATTGGAGGTTTTGCATTTTTCTGTGTCTCTTAAACCATGTTAAAGGCAGAATTTCAAGATCAATGGATTTGCTCCCTAAAAGGTCACCTGGGACTACAATTTTTTGGGAATGATTTGTTATCTAAAGGTCACTGAAGGAAAAAGAGGAATAAATATGAATATTTTAAAGGTCAGAGGTCTCCGCTGTGAGTCAGGAGGAGTATTTCATTTGAAGGAAATGGAAAACCTTTTTCTGGCAAGCCCAAAAAGACCTGATACAATAAAATGTCTGGTGTACAGTGAAACACAAACGTTTGCTTTCACACAGTGACCAGCTCAACCTAAATAATGGAACAATGAATAAATACCTCCACAGGTCAGTGACCATACTGCTCATTTTCTGAATAATATACTCAATCACATGTAGCTGCTTTAATTGCTGTCTTCTGTTTTTACACTGGGAGCTTGCATCTGGGATGTCACCAAGGTCAGAGTGAAGAACGATGACTGATTGTGACTCAATGAGTAGATAAACAAAAAGCAATCTTGCCCTTACCCTGAACTCCTGCTCAGTGACCTCAGCAGAGATGAACACATCCAGGCTCTCTCTGCTGCAGCTCTTTGAAGAAAAGGGCAGCCTACCAGGAGGACATTCACTCTCATTACGTTTTGTCAATGGAATTACAATCTTTGAATGATTCATTTCTCCCCTGTCCCTCTTTTGTCAGTGCTTTATTATAGAGATGTTATTAAAGATGTCCTTTGCTGTGCCTGTACAAGTATTGTGCTCAGTTATCATGCAGCAATTATTACCTACGTCTATTTGTACCTATTTTTCCGCAGATTTTGATGTTCTTATATACAGATATTAGTATGATCGTGATGTTTTTTTCACATTATAGGTTTAGAATCTTATAACCATATAAATGGGAATTAAATGTACATGCACAACAAGTATTTTTCTAGTGCATAGTAAAGATGAATAAAAATTGTATTTGGAGAAAATATAATCAACTTAGATAAAAAGGTCAATGGCAGTCTTCTCATAGCATAGCATAGCAATAACTGTAAGCAGAGGGTAACAGCTGCCTGCTTCTCTTTAAAGTTCAAAAATACACCGATCAACACCTCTAAAGGTAATAAATTAATATGTTATATACGTTGTTTAAGTTGTGGTAACGCAAGGGTTTTTCTTGTCTTGTGTCCAAGTGTTGTCCAAACAAAACGTGACTATACAAATTAATATATACTAATATATTTACTTCTTTGTAGTATGGTTAAGAGTATCATATCACCATCATCATCATGTTTAAAACAGCTACATGGAATTTTGTGTTGATTCTGGACAAAAGCTGTGATGTTTCTGCCGGCTCGTTTCACTAATTTCAAGGGGAAACCAACAAAATCTGACCCAGTGGCAGGCATTAAGAATACCTAGATTTTTTTCCTAATATTTATCATATCATATATCACATCGCATTGTATAATATGGTATGTTATGGTAACACACTGGCCTGCTCCTCTCTGTAGCTGTGGCTGTCCAGGCCTGGAGCGGATCTGGGAAGCCGACCTGGAAGCATGTCAGCTTTTCTTGCGTGGCCTCCAGTTGCGGACTCCCAGCTGCAGTGGAGCAGACATTGAAGACCCCCCGACTGCAGCAGTTTATCTTCCAACCCAGCTGTGCACAAAAGAAGAAGAAGATTGCGCCATGCTGACTGCGTTAGGAGGGCGCTGGTGTCCTGAGGCCAACTTACAGAACTCAGAGTTCACTAAGGTAACACAACAGCAGCTTGTTAACAACACACAATGTATTATTCATTTAAACGCCTATGCATTCATGCTTGACAGCTTGATGGGTGCAGACTGAGATTCAGAGTGTCTTGAATATAAAAAATGTCCTCCCTTTCAATTGCTGAAGTCTCATATTTTCTACACAAAACCCACTTTTTCAGATTGACTTTTCTTTTTTTTATTAATGTGGTGTCAACATGACCTCAAATAAGTTGTTCCTGCTCGGTCAGCTTTACCACTTGACTGGAGAGAGACATTTTTAGTCCGTACATTCAGCTGTTGTCACTAGTATAAAAGACCGTCGACTACAGTTAGATGAGCAGCAATCTATTAGCACGTTTGCTCGAAGGTATTTTATAAATGAGGAAAATGTGGGCGTGAGGGAGGCAACCATTTGGAAATATTTTAGCCTCCTTAAAGAGTGTCATTCTACGCAGTGCAGATTTCAGAGTCTGTTTCAGCACGATTACATGCATTTAGTGGGAATGCATGTGTGTGTGTGTCTGTGTCTGTGTGTGTCTGTGTCTGTGTGTGTGTGTGTCTGTGTGTGTGTGTGTTTGTGTGAGCGCTCAGTGCTGGTCTGTCCCACAGTGAATTGAGGTCCACTGCCTCAGGGCAGAGTCCGACTCATTCTCTCCTCTTCTCACACTTTCCTCCACCCACGTATCCTAACAGACTCGTCTGAGATAGGAACAAAGCCAACAGAACCAGCATTAATAAAAAAAATAGCACACTTGCCAGACATGTTTTTATGAGACTATATGTTGTTAGTTTGGCTCACAGCTTGTGATTTAACATGTTTTTCAACAATATTTGATACTTTAAATTTCCAATTTGCTTATTTCAGTATGAATTTAATGGACTGTTTCCATAAGGAAATATTTTTCAGGGATCTTCACTGGTGCTGTTGGCGTAGTTTCCACTTGCATGTATTAAAACCTGAAGCTTGAAGTCATGTTTAATAACTCCTTCTGTTGCACCCTCTTTACCCTCTCTCACAGTCTGTACAACCATAAATATACACCTTGCATTGATGTCTTCTTTCCCTGCCCTGCCTGACCGCATTTTACAAACTGCATGGATCTATTTTCTGCTTTCCCTTTGTTTCTCTCTGCTTTTCTTTCTCCTCCTGAAGCCTGGCCCCTCCTAACATTTCTCCAAGAACTAAAAGGTGAGACAGCCAATCATTCCTCTCTTTTGTCTCTGTCCTGTACACTATTTTCTGTGTCCTCCAAGTCAGGAACACTGGATGTAGCAAAATGTCCTCTGAATTCAGCCTGGGTAGTATAAATCCTTGAATGTTTCCGAACATCAGTACACAGATTCTTAATTTAGAATATTTGGAAATGAGTCACAATTTTGCTTCAAATTAATTTGCACAGAACACAACAAAAATTATCTATGACGTTCATGGACAGAGAGGCTGCAATGAAAGCACATTGATGCTCCCAACTAACCAGCTAACATGTTTTTCATAAGAACACCTTGTAATCTCTTATCAAAGAGAAGCTTCGCAGCACATTCAGTTGCAGCTCTGGCTCTTTCTCAAGGGAAGCAAACACCATAGAAAAATATGAGACTTATTTTACTGTTATTCTTATATTTCAGCCATCTAATATATTTTATTATCTTAATATACTTCACTTTTCTGAAGATTGAAGGACCCACATATCAAAAAACGTACTTTAAATTGGAGTTGGTAGATATGAGTGTTGTCATCTCAAGGCAAAGGGACAACAGAAGAGTATTTTATCAGCTGGATGCCAGAAAACCTTTGCAAGCTGTACCTAGAAAACCTCATGTGACAGATTATATGTTGCTGTCAGATGGGTGTAATTGGAAAGAGCAGAGACAGTCTGGTTTGTGTGACTGCTTGTAGCATATTAACAATCTGATCTCAGATACATTAGTTATAGATGGTCAGCTGTGTTTACTGGAGAGCAGAGCGATGAAGGCTGTTACACATTTTTTAATTAAAAATAATCATTAAACCTTGCTGATTATTATTTGTTGTTAGTCTGCCTCCTTATGTACTTACCCTAAAGCCACAAACAATATGTTAGCGTCCAATAGGTACAGTAATTATTACCTCCTTCCTTAGTGAAGAATGTACAATTACACACTTTGAATACTAACAAAGGAAACCTGCAGTACAGATGAGGCGGTTAATCTATTTTCTCCTTGTCAGTTTTGGTGATGAATAATTATAACCTCCTCTCATTATGATGATGCTGCATACATACAGTACACAGCCAACATAATTGCTTTTTTAATAATTCATGAGCAGGTTTATGACTGTGTGGCCTCAACAAACCTTTCCCTTTCTGTTGCAGAAACTGGAGGAGTTTTTGTTCTGCATGGAGGATAATCACCCAGAGGTTGGTAATGCTAACACTGTCACTGTACGTTTGAATGTTATCAGTGTAATTAAAGTGTCAGTTACGTTGACGCTGGGTTTACTGGGACACATAAGAATCAATTAGTTGACCGTAACTTAAACATGACCTCTGTCGCCTTTCCGACTGTCCGATCAATACTGATTTACATGAGAAGCCTTGGCTGGTGCCTTTTTACTCGGCCTTTATTAATGCATGGAGAGAGTTTTGCTGAACATGTATTCTCCTTTCAGCACCTTCCTGCTTTAAATTCATACATTTATACTCTTTCACACCTGGTAGACAAACAGTAAAAAGGGCACCAGAACCAGAATAAACTGATGTGTCTGACAGTGGTGTATGCATGTCTACCAAATGCTCTAATAAATATAGAAATAGTTAGTAATTTAGCACCTAAAAGAATTACTGCAATATCTCAGCGTAATGTCCGGCATGGTTGTCATTGGGATTTCTCCATATGTTGAAGCAATGTGCTGCAACGTTTGGAAGGTGGTGCCTCTCCAAAACCAAAAATACAAGAGCAAAATTGTAAAGAGTTAATTTAACAGTGTGTTTATCTCTTCTAATGTAAGCTGTATATGTTAGGATGTCAGGCTAATTAGCTTACTACCGGCAATAGTAACTTAACCAAGCGATACTTCCAATGCTGCTCCAGCAACCCCAGAAACTCATTATCTGAGATAGTGTTTGTCCAACTCATCACTTCCCCAAATCTTTTTTCTACTGTGATGTTAAATATGAGGGTGACCCTATTTTTGTTGTATTTTTGGGGGCTTTTTATAGCCTTTAATTGATAGAGACAGCCGAACCCTGGGCCGCTGCAGAAAGGACTCGGTACATGGGACACCAGCTCTACCAACTGAGCTAACCGGGCGAAATTAGCTAATTACGGTGAAAACTTGCTTATAAGCTAAGTCAGACAGGGTTATATTAGTCTGATCCTGCATTTTTCCTTGTTATACTTATAATACTAGGGCTAACTAGTTACTGCAATACAATAGGACACTTTTTTAGGTGTCAGCTTACTGATAAAGATGCTAACTTTTTGCCCGGGACATGTATCTTTAGCATCAGTCTTTTAGCACAATATCATGTATGTTAATATTTGAGACCCTTTTATAGGATTTGTGTTTTAAATTAAATTACCTGAAAACCTTGTAAGGTCAGTTGGAGACAGCGTTTTAAGCCAACTCATGGAGCTTTATTATTTAGCTACAGTACAGCCAATACAAGTTGTCATTTCAGCTGGATGCTGGCTAGAAATTAGACGCCTGCTTTTGTCCATCTCTGAGTGTAATCAATGACCCATTGTCCAACAAAAATAACCAGGAATTTTAATGGAAAATGTGCCATTATTATAAACTTCAGTGCCTTTGTGAGGATTTAAAACCCGACAGGCGACAACAGTTACTAAGACAGGAATGGCCAATTTATGCTCATGCACAAGGTGTGTAGGGCAGTGACTTGAAAACTAGCTGACATAAAATGCCTCAATCACAATAAAGTATGATGTATCACGCAGTCAGATGATATGATGGCTGTTAACTGATATTGTGTCTTTGTCTTGATGGTGTTGTGATGACAATGGAGGAGCTGGATTCATCTGACCTCTTTCTCCTTTCCATAATGACTTTAAGTAAATGATTTCCACTTAGCTGCTGCCATGCTGCTGCCCTGCTGCCACAATGGAGATTGATTGGTGTGTGCATGTGCGCAAGTGTGTGTTTAAGCACTATTCTTTTTTCTTCTAATCTTCTACTAATTGTTCTTTTATCCTCTCAAGGTCCTTACATCCCCCTCTTCATACTGACCCACTGTACCGAACAAGAATAGAGACATTATTAATTTGAAATGTTGACGGCTTTTGATTAGCTTTGTTAATCAGGTAGTTTTTGTTTACACCAGCCTTGTGAGAATCAAGAGATGAGTGCTTTGTCACAATTCCTTATTGCATGCTAATTGTACACAGTAGCTATTATATACTTATTGTGACTTATTGTATACAGTTAGTGTACAAGAAATATATGCACGTTTCCATTTTGTATAAGCAGGATATTAAACAGCGTGTACAGACATCAATCAAGCAATGTATGAATATCAATCAAACTGTGACTCATACCCCAAATTAAATTTAACCAAACCACTATTTGAAGATTTTTCAAAGACTTAATATATATTGTTTAAGCAACATTATTTAAGAACTGGTATTTTTGCAATTTGATGCCCATAGTATAATTCATATATATCATAAATATGAACAGCTGTACACGTGTACATTATTTTGCTTACACAGCCAAACATTAAGCAAGTGCAACAACACTGGACATAGCAATAGCCATCTAATGATGTCCACAGTGGCTGTCGAGCCTGGTCACCTTTCCCACTTGCCCGGCTCGCTCTGTGCTATCGCACAGCACGCCACGGTCCGGCCTAGGTGTTCGAGGCTAGAACTAGCCTATCGACAGATAACTTGCAATTAGCTGCAGTGCCTCACTTTAGTAACAACCAAAGCTTTCTGTCCTGGAAGAGATCAGAAGGAAAACCAGAAAACATTTTCTCTATAACATATGACCCAGTTTCACTAAAATCAGTGACTGGTGATGCGTGGCTTGCTGCCGTAAAGTGCGAGAGCAGGCCTACGGGGTGCTGAGTGGAAATGACAGAGGCACCATTCACCTTATTACTGTGGACAATTGTGTATTGTGGGAGAGAAGTGTGCACCAACAACACACTCAATAACTGAAGCTATATCCAAATTCCACTTAACACTTGAATAGTGACTAAATTAAGTACTCAAAACTGTCATTATGCCGTTTGATTTTTGAGAGAGAAAACTGTTGATTTTTGAGAGTGCAGTTGATGGGCAGTATTGACACAATGAAATGAAAAAGATTCAAATAAATTGTGATTGTTGGTGAGATTTAAAAAAAGCATTGGATCAAACAATTAAATGTTTGAAAAAGAAAAGTTTGCTTCCTTTCTGTGAAGTTTAATCGTCAGTGACATTTCAGAGTCGCAGTTTGATTGATGTCTTAAGTTGCACATATTATATCATTGCCTGAGTGGCCAGAGCGCAGGATGAAGAGAGGCGGACTCTGTGTTGATGTTAATGGTGCTCTGTGCTTAAATGTAGTCAAAGTGGATGGACAGTGTTTCTTTTTATGTGCAGATGAAACCATATAATCATCATTATGTTGTTACTGCTGTAATTAGTATGTAGTATGGAACTGGGAAACAGCCACTGACCAACGCCTCATACTGTCTCTGCACATATTTTTAGATGATCTTGGAAAGTGACAGTATTTCTAAGTGTGGACCCATTGACTTACTAACAAGGCATTAGCGATAACAAAGACACTAGTTCATCATCAGCTAGTTAATATCCTTTTGAGTTTAAAATGAATTCACCTACTTTATTGTTTGTAAAAGCAATTATGACCTTGAGTGTAATACCAGTGCAATATTATTGCTTTATATTGCCCGCTCGGCACAAAGTGTCGGGCCTAACAGCACCCATGGGGACACGCGCAATAACCTGCTGCTTCTCACTCATTATTGTTTAAATAACCATACCAGTGCATACATGAGTCTGGATATTGCATTTCTAAATAATTTGCTCAAGTTCATGCTTCTGCAGTCTGCTTTGTTTACTTGTGGTCTAATAACATTAGCACTAATGTACATCAGGAATCAACACGCCAATACATGCGTGCCTGGGATTCTATTATACAAATTGACATGTTGTTGAAATCTCATTTCGCATGTTTTCTTGTTTGTAAAAGGCAGAGGTAGCACAGAAGTCATTTGTATTGTTTTGATCGCCACCAGGAGCTAAATAAAAGCTTCTGAATAGTCTTAACAGTTTCTTAAAAGGTTTTCTCTACAAAGTTGCTAACAGCAACAGTGTCACGGTGAGCTTTTGTTTTCAACCCTGTGGTTGTATTGACTTTACAAATGCTGACTGGAGGCTGTAAAGTATAGAATCAATCAGTTACACAAACACAGGGCTCTTATCTGCAAAAGAAGGCCCTAAGCTTGACAAACAAACAGCTCAGTGAATCTATAGGTTGACTGTCTACTGTCTTGTTACTGGGATTCCCAGCCCCACATAAGTTGTCGCCAGAGGACAGACACGTGATAGTGACTGTTTGTTCATTTAAGTGCCCCATACACAAACACAAGATGTTTTCTTTAAATATTTTGTCCTGTGGGTTGTTCTGAGTTTAAGTCTTACTTAATTCCATAATTGCATCAAGGATGACTTGTACACACCGTCGCGCCTCTGGCTCATTGTTGTTATACACTTCTTTTGGGGTATTACATCATCCAGAGAAGTAGTGCTATTCCAGGACAGAGACCAGAGACATGACTTTCAAGTGATTGTTCTGACACCTCTGAGCTGCAGGGAGTTGATATTTCCTACCTGCAGCTATGAGTCAGATTAGACTTTCTATGTGTTGTTTGACGAGAACACTGGGTCTGTGTGCATGTGCGTGTGTCTATTTGCTTGAAGTGCTCCTGTGTACTCTCCTGCGTGTGTTTGTGTTCTCTATGCTTGATAAGTGTGAAGAAACTAGGACACGATGTCTGCAAAGGGGCCTGTTCTAATTATGGCCAGCTCTGCTCTCTGAATGCTCTGCCCTACTGCACTCTGCTCCCCCACCAACCTGACATCCCCATCACCCTCCAACACACACTCAGGCCTTACAGCATCCTCAGGTGATCTGCAGATCAATGCTGTGCACACAGGCCCTCTGGTGTGTATTGTGTACATTATGACCCTGGTGCTTTACCAAACAAAGATTTTGGCAGCCTTGTATTCTTTCTGTCTGGCCTGCTTTTCTCCACTTCAGACTTCTATCTGGTTGAAACGGTGTCAACGATGTAGTGTGAAAGAGATTAACTCTGGAAATGCTCCATGTTGAGCTCTGACTCATGGTTATAAGAGCACATATGTAATCAATTAAACCAATTAAAACGAAGATTAAAGACAGAATGAAACAACTCAAGTCAGGCAGTGTTGTATAATGCTTTCAGAAAAGCAATCATTTAAATTAGACGTCTATACACTAACTTTAATAAATCATATATTCATTTATATATATATTCAATTGAAATATTATAACATATACTCACTAGTCTTAGGTGTTAAAGTGGTTTAATATGTCAATATCTACTTTATTTGTTTGATGGTATATATAAAACAAACACAGCACATGACACAATAAGGCTACAGGTGTTCACTCTGTAGCACCATTCAACATTCACTTATTGTAAGCATAAGTGTGTTATGGTTTTAATTATTGTCTTATGAGAAGACATGGGTTATAACACAATATTTTACTGCATGGATCTACCTGTGTATTTATGGTGATTAATGAACCATATATTTGAACCATTGCAGCTTCACTTGTTGATCATTTCCATACCAATCATTTCATCCCTTGTTTCCTTTTCCTGCCAGGATGGGTGCAGCGAGGCTGAGGCTGCCGACCTGACCGAGCGCTGCGAGCTGATCAGTGACAGACTAATGACCTTGGAAGATGAATTGCAGACGGCCATACTGAACCGGGATCAGGCCCTCACTCATATCCTTTCACTGCACTCTAAATGTATACCACATCATATAAACTATACTATCTGGGTCTGTTTCTGCCTTCGTCCATCCATCTTAAGGACCCAGTTTTCCTCGAATGCCTTCCAACTCTCAAAAGTACCCATCCAAACTACCTTTAGGCTGACTGATGTTCTGTGACTTTACCTTTCGAGAAAAAAAATTCAACCTGCTTTATCTGACATTATGGGTCCATTCAGGGAGGGAATTGAAGATAAACTGGGATCAGAGGATTTTTCTTGACAGGCTGGACGTGCCAACTGGAAAATGAAAATGGTAAAAGTCCAAGCGAGGTTATTAGAGGGTCCTTGATGTGGGCTGCCAGTCACCACAGGCTGAGATTAAAGTCGGCCGACAGGGGCAGCGCCGCAACAGATAGAGCAATGTCACTGTAATGACTGCGCTCCTGTCATATCCTAATGTCCATGCTCCTGCTGACCCTCCCCTCCCCTCAGTCGCCCCTTCCTCCCCTCCCCTCCCCTCCTCCGTCTGCCCACTTCCACTTGCTGGTATCTGGCTGGGAGGAAATTACAATATCCATGATAATGACTCAAATGAAACTGTTGAAGCTGATTACAGGTCACAATACATCATTTTCCGCGCTAATTAGAAAGCTGATTGGAAATAGATTAGTGTGTTTTTCTCGCTCCACTTTTCCCCTCTACACTGTGCGCTTATTAAGACAGATAGAAAAGGCAATACTTCAGCACGGGGTTGAAGAAAATTTGCCACCTAACCTGCTGTTTATCTATTTATTTATTTATTTATTTATTTATTTAGTGTCACGCCTCATTTCTCTTCTTTGAACACGAGCTGCCAGAAATACTTTCCTAATCTGATGAAGATGTTTATTTAGTTTTATTTATTTACAGTGCATCCTTCATTCTCGGTTGAAGTGGGGCCGGACTGTTTTCACATCTGATTAGAGATTCACGTCCCCCGCTGTGCTGTCAGGGGTCAGTGTGGGTTCCGTCGCTCTTTGCATGATATCGATGCAGCCTGGCAGTCGGAGATAGACACAGATTGGCCCGCCTCTCTCCACCTTTCTGTTTTTGTGTCCTTACACGTCATTCATTCCCAGCCTTTTGAAGTCGATGCACTCATGCAAAAGCATCGTGGACACTTGAGGACACTGAAGATGCAGGACAATATTATTGTTGGGTTGCAGAAATTGAAACTCGGGATGGTGCTGCTGTTGCTATAGTGATGGGAAGATCAGACCTTCAGTCTCTAGGGGTCTTAATTGAGTCCCTGCTCTCAATACAGGGAGGTGGAATGGATGACCACAGACACTGGAATTTAAAAAAAAAGAGTTGAATAGGCAAAATGTTGTCAGTCTCTGTGGTTTGTCTTGAAGGCCTCCAACATAATTCTGATCATCCCATTTGGACCTTGCCTTAAAAGTTTCGTCGAACCTTCTGCAGTATTCATGAAAAGCTCTTTAACGGCTGGTTAATTATGAATGAGGACAATCTGTGTCCATTCAGACAGTAAAACGAGCCATCAGGACCCATCTGCCATCAAAGCCATCCCTTTGATTTGCCACTTAAGCCGGACACTCACACGATTAATTTGAGTTTCTAAGCAGGTTAAACAATCCCCCCACTGATGACAGCCTCTATCCCATTTCATTGCTGGTTTATGAATAATTTAGCTTGGCAGCCTGTTTGCTTGGGTCCCCACACTGCCACCCAGCTTCACAGACAAGATGACCTCATGAATACTGAATTGGATGGGGTTAAATTGGGTATGACTTGATGATCTGTCCCAGTAATCCGTTTGGGGGCCAAATCGGAGATTGATGGCTTCATCAGGTTATGGCTGTCCACTGTTGTTACCATTAACCATCGAGGGCCACAAGTGTCACATTTGCCCTAATATTTGCCTGCTGGCATGCTCTTTTATTTACACATTAATGTCCGACTCTCAGTTTGTGTCCACAGCATCGTAGTCTTCCTTAACTCACACTGCACAGTCGTTGGAGAAGGAGGTTCAGGAAGTCAAAACCACTCTACAAACCATGCTCGCACAGCTCAAAGAGGAAGAAGAGGAGGAAGAGGAAATGAGTGAGTTACAGGATGATGACCTTATGAAAAATGAGACTGAGGAAGAAGAAGAAGAGGAAGAGGAGGAAGAAGAGGACCAGTACTTCAGTGACAGCTGGGGCATTTGAAATGGATGCTAGTAGTGTTTTATGACCACTCACACAGACCGGCTCTCTGAGAGCCTGACCTCAGATTTGCAGTAGGAGTGACCCCATATCCATTTACTGTAAAGCCTCACTCAAAGGGCTTTGCAACCAGCCTCTGTGGTACTGCTGAAAGTTTCCAGTACAAAGCCTTAGAAAGTCTGTGTAACATTTTATATATCCACAACTGGGAAAACATATGAAGGATTTTGATATGAATGCAAAATATAAGACACTTTAATGCAAATTGTACAAGTTCCTCAAATCTTGCCAGCTGAAGGTTAACCAGGTAAAAAGTGCCTTAGGCCACAAAGCCGAAATACTGATTATTTTTTCAATGAAGATGTTTTCGGATGCAGGTTTTTTATGTCATGTCTTACTAGTGCTGAGCAATCAAGTGAAATTTAGTTTTTTTGTGATTATTTGGTTATTTGAGGGGTTTCAGTTCAGATTTGTGGCCATTTGCAAACCGCAAAGTCTGCAGAGTCTCAGAAGTAAGAAATGATCAGCCTTAAAGCCAACTTGTGCCCACAAGTAAAAGTTAATGAATTATGGTAAATGGTAAAACATATGTAACAGTAGAAAAAGAGGAGTTAACAGACTCAGTAATGTCTGCTTGGATTAGCTAACATTAGTTTGCTGTAATGGGGAGCACCAAAATCCGAGAGTGTATTGAATTTATTAAGGGTGTTATTTATTCTTCCAGTCTCACTTTAAAATTAATGACAAAAACAGTAAGATAGCAAGCCTGAAATCAAACTGAAGTCGAAAAATCACCAATCGCTCACGGCAGCCACCTGTTTGAATTTTGACCGAGGACCAAATGGACAATCCAAACATCTTTTACTGGTAACAGTCTTGCACATAAACTAAAACGTATGCTTCATTTTTAGGTCAACTAGCCACTTTTGTGTGTGTTTTTTTGTACGATTGGACTTCAGTTACGTGTAATTTTGTCCATGAAATAACTCATTCGTGGTGCTACAGAATGTGAGCTAACTTGAACACTTTATTCTTTTCTTTGTGTGGAAAATGCAATATTTAGATTTTATTTCCCTCCCTGTCTTAAAGCAGTGTATGCTTGTAGAGATGCTCTGTATTTTAAAATACATGTTTCTTATGCATGTAGGAAATATTGAAGGATAAAACATCAGTGGACTCATAAGATATTTGCAACTGCTGTCTGTTTTGTTTGTTTGCCACTGATTACGTGTTGTTTTAATTTTATTTTATCAGAATATTCTTGTTCATTCCACTGGTTGTCACTTGACTTTTTTGTTTGCCAGAAACATTTTTTGTACTTTCACCTATTAATCAGTTTTTAATTTACTGTGCAGCTTGAACTTGCTGTATCATATTTTATATTTATTCCTTGCAGCATCTCACTAATTACAGCATGTACCATAAAGTCTAATGTTGTGTCCTGCTGTTTTCTTCTTGTATTGAGTTACAACCCCTCTGGTGATTTTCCCTCATATAAGATGTGCGGGCATGCTGCCAGGCAAGTGAGGGTAGTAGTGACATGTAGGAGATATCAATACGGTAATAAAGGTCCTCTAGTGAGGTCTTTAGGGGATACATGGACTTCTATTGTTATCTCGCCTCAGCAGCGGCAGTGTGGCTAATTGGGATGCAGCCTCACAGAGGACATGGCGGAGAAAAATGGGATGGTGTTGCTTTGTCTCCATCTGATTCTGCTCTGTGTTTTTTGGAGGGGGAGGCTGTTGAGGGATCCTCAGAGGCGTGTCTGCAGTCCCGCGCTCTGGGCTGTAAACACAGCTGAGTGCTCAGGGTTTTTCCGCAGAAGCACAATGGGCCTTTCTGACATTACTGACAGGTTGCAAACCACTTGCCAGGCCAGAAGTCTCCACATCTATCAGCTTCAGGCAGCATACAGACAGAGCCTGGCACACACACCTTCCTGCCAAACGCCCCCACCTCATAATTGAATGTGTGCTTGCACCATACTGTGCCCCACGTGGCAGCTCTGCTCATAAAATGGCCACGGAGAAAAACCCAGATGGTTTTCAGCAGGCAGCTATAACAGGGTGAGATGTTTCCTGATGTAAAATGAAGCACCATGCAGTGCAAGTCCTTTGTCTCTGCAATTCCCAATGTTGTTATATAATATTCTAATTTGTTTTCTTTCCATACTTTTCCTATATAATCTAGTCAGATCCACCCCTTTCTTGCTGATAACAGTGAAGTTTACCACTTGAAATTCATAGTTATTTTCCGAACAATGGTCCCTTGATTTCAGACAGAGGTAAACAACTGGTAGCTTCTCATTTCAAGCCGGCAATCATTGATTTGTCGGCTGAAATTACCACCGTGGCCAGCAGGTTGTATCACCTGTAGCTAGCTTGCTAATTAATCTAACATCAGCTTTGTGAGTTGATTTAAAATATCATCTCCGGCTAACTTTTTGATGTTTCCAGCTGACTTAAAACACTAACTCTTTAAAAAGAGTATTGAATAGCAATTTATGGCTTAATACATGATATTGTGTGACAAGACTGAGGCCACATGTCCCAGGCAAAAAATCACCATCATTGCTGTGCAGCAGGAGAAATACTACATAGAGGAGGCATGAACAGACTTTTTTTTTTTTAACATAACCTTTAACCCCACAAAGCAATGTCAAATGTTGGATATAATTATAGGTTACTACTGTAGCCAGGTACTAATTTAGTTAGCCAGACATGCTAACATTTGCAGCTTACGTTAGAGCAGATAAACACACAGAGAATCACTCCACTTCAACATGTGGAGAAATCCAAAGCTTGACAGACCTGCCTGCCTAGTTACAGTTGCTAAGCTATGATTGGATAATTGCTATTTGGTGGAGGGGTTTGGCAAATGCTGATTTTTTTTTTGTGCAGGCAGCATGGAACTGTTCTACATTGAATAAATAAATCAATCAATAAATGTAGTGATGGAAAATTTGCCAGTGAGGTGAGATAAATTGGTTTGTTTCCAATCCAAATTGATTCACTTTGAAGCATTTTCAGGTGTCACTTTGTTCAGGCAAACAGGAGTCTGCCTGAGGAAAATAAACCATAAAAGAAAGACAGGTGAGAACAGAAAAAATCATTAAGCATCTGAAAATGACATGCAAATGCAAGTGATTTTGTCCCACTCCTTGTTCGAATGTTTCTCTGGATTTATGAAGAATATTTTATGACTGAATATGAATGAATGATTTCAGGAGTGTGTCTGTATCAGGGGATTTGGGTCTGGGATCTGGATTTGTTTATTTGATTCCCTGCTGAGTTGTTACGTTGTCTGACAGGTACATGTACAAACTCTCTGAACCATGGGAGAATCATAGATCGTGTTGCAGATTTTCCTCTCGCACCGCTTCAGCCAGCGTCACAGACACCACTAATGAATGCAAATTGAGTTTTTATTTTGTATTCATGCCTTTCACACCTCCAGAGATTTCTGTATGCTCCTCTGAAACTGACACCTTTTATTACGTGTGAGTGACTGCATGTCAGTTCTGGTCATTGAGCCAGTGAAGTTAACTCTCCTGAGAGGTATTTTTTTCGACAGAGCAAACCTGGACACCGAACTCACCGCCGCGTGCAAGTGGCCTTTTATTTGACTCTTTCCAGTGGTTTTAGGAGCTCATTCAAATTCACTCTGCACTTTACTCAACTGTTGAATAAATTCAACCCAGCAATTAAACAGGGAGGAAATTCCTGTGGAATTAATAAGCATTTTAAATTGCTAGTCTTACCTACTCAAAATCTGCATATTTTCTTGTCAAACCAGGAACGGAAGTGTGGCACAAATGAACAACAGAGCAGACTGTGCAGAGACAACAGGAAATAGCCTGCCTTATTCTTTTTCCTGTGGTCTGATCTTGACGTTGAAAATCACACTTAATTATAAACACTGTGCCAGTGGGAGCTGCAGTCTCTTCAGAAACAGACCTATTTCCATCACTTATGGCTGTATGAGAAATTACAGCACTGGAGGAAATGCACTCAGAGAAGCAATCACATGTCTATTCTCATCTTTATTTTGCTATATCTAATTTACACACTGGCCCTCTCAGAAATTACACATGAAAAATTGCGAGACCTTTCGAAAAAAGGCAGGTGTTTGAGAGAACAAGGTGTGTGTGCAACACGTGTCTGTGCAAGTGCAGAGAGAGATTTACTGATCCTGCAGGAACCCAATCAGAGATATTACTCATTTACATATTTAATCATTCAGACTGAAATTCGGAATAATTGGCCTGCATGTGATCTATCTGAGCAGTAAGACCCCCAAGGAAAAAATAACAGAAAGCGACATTAAAATATATTTAGATATCAGATGCTTGAATCATCAGAGATTTAATGTGCCTTAATAGTGAGAGACTGTACTGTGAACCACCAGACTGGAGGTTGTGGGGTGATAATACTGTACTGAGACAATGATACACCACACTCCAACTTTAATATAATTTTCATAGAAGAACATGCATCACAACAATGACTGAACCAATCCACGTTTTATCTCTTTCCCAGGACAACTCATCTGGCACACAATCAGTCATGTATTTTTGAGTTTCAGGGAATAATTCAAGGAAGTACTGGGTAGTTAGCATAATAAAAAAGCTTGCATCCTAGAGAAAAGTAACAATAAGGAGCTCTATGTGTATCAGACAGGCACAGCCATAGCTACCACTGAGGACACCGAGGTCATATCCCCAGCATCCTGTTATCCATGTTAAATGAACTATGACAAATAAATACATTTCAGAGATTATTTTTAGTTTCTCTCTCTCTCTCTCTAGGATTAGTTTGAAGGGTCTTTGAGGGCACTCATGACCTCAGTAGCTTGTATCTAAGATCCTGGCTATCAGTGTGTTGGGTTTACAAATCTTTCCTCAGATCAAACATGTAAATTTGTCCGTGTTACATAAAAAAACACTTCAAATTAGCCACAATTTACTCCGAGGGACCCTGAAGAAACATACTAAACTTATTTTGGATGAATTTGACTGAAAGACAAATATTTCTAAATAATGTTACATGCTGTGTATTTAATCCCAGTTAGAAGTATAACAAGTGCTCATGTCAAATGGTTTTCTCAAAGGCAATCGCTTTAAAAGCTTATGGCTTGCTTCTCTGCCCAAAAACCATCAGAGTAATAAGATCAAAGCCAACAGGAACTCTGTGTGACACACCATCAAATCTCTTTAAGAAGATTTACAGTATCCCCGTTCCTTTGTGAAACATCACTGTCAAGCCTTAAACAACAGTTATGACAGTGTTTTTTAGGGAAAAAATGGTTTTGGTTTGTTTTGAGCAAGGAGATGCTTTGTGCTGCTTTCTCATGTGTATCAAGAGGAATGGGATTCTCTTTTTTAGCAAGCTGTGTAACCAGCAGCATAAGCAACAGAGAATTGATTATTACTTCAATGTCCAAGCAGGAAAAACATATTGTTAGTAATTCCTCCAGAGAGACCTCCTCCATTTAAATCTATGGGGGAGCACTTCCTCCAAGAAGCCCAGACATTGGTTCACCTTGTAACATCCCTGGGGGACGTGGCTGTCACTGGAAAGCTGAAATATCATGCCAGCTCTGCCATCCTTCCCACTTAGTCTCAAAAACAGGCAGGTACCACACCAGGGGGAGACAGGATCGATAGATCTGATGGATGGAGCTGGCTGCCTTTAGCAGAGGGGCTGGGGGATGGAGGGAAGGGGAGAGAAGTAATGAGAGCTCCTGTGAGCGATGGGGAGGTTTTTACTATGGGAGGCTGGGCGCACGGACCTCGTTCCTTTCACTTGAGCTGCCAGTCTGGCCTAATAAGACTTAGAGGAGTCCTGTCCTCGGGAGGGAGGTGGTGATGTGAGATGCTGCTTCTCAGCAGCTGTCGGTCTGTCTAGACCAGCCTGCACCCACAGAGAACAAGAAACACGAGATATGACATACCAGCAGAGTATGGTAAGTTTGCTTCTTGGGTGTGGTTCTGAATCCAGGACTGCTTCAAAGCAAGAGAACTGATACTCCAGGTGTAAAACAGTACGGTACTAACAGCTGCATTCATTAATATTTTTAGATTAACAATGGATCAAATTGACTAAACATAATAAGAAAGGGGTTGCTTGTGGTGATGAACCCATAGAGATGTTTTACAGATTCTGCTTTACAGGGCTTTATAGCGTCTTTAAGCTCATTGTTTTGGTTCTGTGGTCCACTGCTTTACTGTTTTGGTTCACATACTCATTAACCTTGTTTTTAACTGCAGCAATTTTCAACAAAAAACCTCTAAAAACTCACAATATGCTGCCTGCCTGGCCCCAAACAGCAGACAAACAAAGTTAGCAACTAGCTGGTGGATATAGCGGAGCCTTCAGCAGCTAAAGAGCCAGATATCTCTCTAAAGTCAGTCGAGACCAAAACAGAACTAAA